ATAATATCAGATAAGCGACACATTTTTATTTGCGCTGATAATGTGTGCACTCAATGCATACCCTCCTGATGCGGGGCCTCTGAGAAGCCATAGCCTGGAATCGATGGACAGATCACTTCAAAGGCCACGCCATTTGTGGGCTCTATTAGTTGAGGTATCGCTTTATAGTATTCCCAAACTGACCCTGGCCATCCGTGTGTTATCTAAATTACAAATAATGTTTATATTATTATTTGAGGTTTTTTGTTGCATATTTTGTATAGTTTATCATACGAGTATTGGGACGACTGTTTTCGCTGGTTTTGATGGCTTAACGTGATAAAAATGAATATCAATGCCATTGATTTGAGTGGTGTATTGATTGAATTGATTTAATTGTGATTCTTGTTTCCGCCAATCAAATGTTGTCTTCCAGTATGCGATTACTTTTTGCAGATAATCGCCATTAAAGCCATAATTGAAATTAGTTCCCGCTATTGGCGTCACATATCGGGCCGATTCGAGCCGACTCTTGAGGTCTGCGAGCACTCCATCCGAAACATTGACCACAAACTTATTGATAGCCACCGACTCTTTGGGAAACGCCTGTCCGCCTGTTTATTACATAATTATTGTAAAATATAACAAATAATGATAATGACCATAGTCAAGGCCCTTGACTCAAGGGCATATTGTTAATACTTACTTTTGAGTTTTGTTTTGCCAAACCATTTCTCACTAACATCAGGCATATCATTATACTGTCGTTTGACCAGCAATGGGTATATCACAGCACCGATACCCACCACCACTGCCACCAACAGTAACTTTTTAATTAAACCCATACTTTTTTATAATTATAAAAACAAAACTTTGTATAATATTTAGTGATAGTTATGTAATATATTTTATAACATGTCTTTCCGATAGAAAGTTATGTCTCTGGGAATGTAATACTAGAAATGAAACTAAAGTAACGCTAATTCACTCTCTAAATACACTATACATTCACTGTACACTTATATGATGTGTATAATGTACTGTTGTTAGACTGTCCTTGGGCACACGGCAAACTCAATGCACTTTTTAAAACTGTTAACCACTCTTAAGTACATAAATCAGTATTGAATGTTAGATTTGCACTCCCTATGGCTTATTTAACTAGGCAGTTTACGTTTGTAACTGCAAGTGCTTTTAGTGCATGTTTTTTCATTTGCATAAAGTTGTATAACAAGTTAAAAACTGTCTAACTAGTTTTTCACAATATTCTCAACCCGAGATGTATAAACTATTGTATTATTTATTATGATATTAATAGTAACACTTGGTGTTCATAGTAAAGACTTGTAGTTTATTAGTCTAGTATTTAGCTATTTATAAAATTTGTCGCAAAATAAAATGTAATAGAAATCAATTGTATTATAACTGTAGTTCATATATGTATAGTTAAAATTGATGACAATTTTTCCTTATTGTCATCTAATGTGACATTAAATGAAATTGAATTAAATGCAACTTGTTTTGCATGTTTGCTATTTTGTCATTACAGTAACTGTGTTGCAAGGCTATTAATGTTGTTATTTTATATTATATAATTATCATATATTTTTATTGTTATTTATAAAGGATTGGTATAATTTTTTGCAACACTCATTACAATTAAATTTTTATAATGGTTACAAAATGTTGAATATAACATAAATTTATTGCTAAATTGTATAAAGAATTGACTGATATGTTGTTGAGTTACTGTTACATAAATGTATTGACTATCACTAAAGAGTGTTAAAAAATAAATCACATATTTCTTACAACAAAGTGTAACTTCAATTATAATTACTGTTTAATGCCACTTATCAATGGTTATGGTAACTGATAATCGGGGTAAATATCTGGAGAGTGTATTTTCGTGACGATAAGTGTTTTCTAGCTCTCAATTCAGACATTTATTTCTAAACAGAAATCAGCAAAAATATATTAATTTCTACATTTGACGGAAATATCTAATGTTTATTCATATGTTTATATATTATGATTACATAATATAAAGTTAATAGTGTTTAATACACACGTACGTTCATTAAATATAAATTGACAACATGCTAAACCTATGGTGCTTTTTTCAAAATACATGTATTTAATTACTTATTTATGAAAACATAAACCAATTTTGTTGTGAAATAAAAACATTTGTGAAATACAAAAACAAATGAGTGACGAAAAAGATGAGAGCAATGAATGCGAGAATCGTTTGATGGATGAGACGGGAAACGAGACGCGGAGGAAGTCCTACGGAACCGATGACAAAGACATCGACGCCGGCGCTGCCGGCCATACATCCAGTGGCGCCGATCCAGAAGGGGTACCGCAATTGGCGGGTCCGCACAGGCCATCAATCGCCACCAGAATTAGACATTTCAACGCACCTGAAGATCACATCTCATTCATAGACAGATTAATGTCACTTATTTTTGATTCAAGTAATTAATAAACAAAAATATTTTATTTGTTTTATTTAAATATACTGTAAATTGCTTTTCTTCTTACAGTTTGGGGTATAATATTCCTATTCATAGCGAATGTACTTCAAGTCATTTGTATTATTACGGGTAAGTCCACTACATTTTGTACCAAGTTTATTAATTATTTTACTAGATCTAAATTTTATTATTACCTAATTTCAGGCTCCGTTTACATCAACGACTGTCCCCTTTCGCCGGCAATTCCGGCCGTACTTATAGTGAACGGAGCGATGAATGTCTTGATTTGTGTCACAGAAAGTATTAAAAGGCGAATAAATATCAATTCAGATGTAATTAAAAAATTGGATTTAATAATGACATTATTAAAGATCGTGTCGGCCGTCAGCTTTCTTATATGTTTGTATTATTTGTTACATTTATAAAATCATTGTCATTTTATACACATTTTAATGCAACTTTATTAATTGTTTGTTCAATTTCTATCACGTTTATAATAGGGATGATTGTGGTCTACGATAGCTATTCACCAGATTTTGATAACCGCTATTCAGCAAATTATTGCAACCGTTACCTATACCTATTTGCATTCTGGTTACTAAGTTCATTTCTCATTATTATAGCCCTTCTATTTTTCATCACGTGTTGTTGCTGTTGTTTCGGGCATTTAATCAAATAGCAAATTAAACATTTATTTATTATGACAATTATTTATCAGCATTTTAATAATTAAATTAATTATTTTTAAAATTGTATTTTATACATATTTTGATTAATTAAAATTAATAAAAACTTTTGAAATATCTTGATTTGAAACTATATTAAATATTAAATGTTTAAGTAAATTGATCAAACACGTAAAACATCAAAATATTTATGCCTTGTTCAAACAACAAACAACAATTGGGAGACTGTTGTGAATCAAATGCGAAATAAGAAATTACTGTATATAATATTATGTCTCACATATGAATTACCTTCTTATCACTACCTATGGATACAATGATTATTATGTAAATAGTGGGAAATGCTATTGCGATAAATCGTTCACATTTAATAGACGTTTAAATGAAACATTATTTTGCTGCTATTTGATTAGTTTCAAAAGTGTCAACCACTCTATGAACGCCAGTAAATATATTGCTATTAATATTCATATTGTTTCAAATAATTATTATAAAAATTACTAAAAAAGTGATCTAAAGTCTTAATAAATAATTCACATAAACACCAAAATGAGTGATGAAAGTAGTGATCAAAATCCTACGGAAAGTGCGGTATTAGACGAGTCTAACAATGGGTTTGTGCGGATCACAGGACTCGATGAAAATGATGAGAAAATAATACCACAATTGGGACCAAAGACTCAGATCAAGAAGTGTTACGACAAGAAATACATTCTCATATTATGTAAGCAAATAAATATATCAAATATATTTACAAATTAATTAACAACATTTTAAATTTAATGTTTAGCTATTATTCAGTTAATTGGTGCGATTGTCTCTTTTATAATGGGTTTGTAAATTACTCTATTTTCGTTTAATTAAATTTTAATTTCACCCTGGCTTATTTTGATGTCATTAAGGCTGCATCTATGTAGACGACTGCCCAAATTCACCCCGTATTTCAACAGTGCTTATAATATACGGTATAATAGTTGTGATGGCATTCATTTGGGAGAGAATTAGGACCAGAATTAGCCAAAAGTCTGCCACTATTAAGAAAGTAGTATTCATTACAACCAATGCCTTATATCTAATGAATTTCGGTATTTTTATTGCCTGTAAGTGTTATCACAATAGAAAAACATTAAAAATATTTTCACCATTACAAAATAAACATGTTTTGTCTATTTTTACATATATTTATTTAGGGATTGTTGTGGTGTATAGCAGTCGGACACCTGATTTTGACGACACCGGCGCCGATAACTATTGCA